CTGCCCCCCCCCCCCCCCCAGGTGAGACTGTCGGGCTGAGGGGTGAATGAGATGATTGACAGTGCAGGTCACCTGTTCGTGTTCCCGAATCTACTTTGCCGACGGCAAAACTGCCTCCTTGACCAGAGACATTTGTGTGCTGCACTGACTGGTTCCGCACACTCGTTCCGCGTCCACATGCTGCTCCGTCAGCACATGGAGCCCGTCAGTGGCCCGTGTTTCCTGACACGGCGGACAGCTGGGCCGTGCAGCTGCTCTGTGAAGGCACAGCCACTGCCTCACAGAGACCCCGGTGACCCGGCCATTAACATGCCGAGGGGACGCCCGGGGCCGCTGCCAGCTCTCGGCCGCGTGCTGCCCATCTCCAGAGGCGCTCCGTGTGGGGTCACCGTGGGCACCGAGATCCAAGCTAAACTTTATCTTTAGAGCAGTTTTAGCTTCAGAGCAAAATGGAGGGGAAGGTACAGAGATTTCCCATCTACGGTCACCCCCACCTGCACGGCCCCCGCCAGCCACACCCTCCAGGTGGACACCTGTCAGTCACCACGGAGGAGCCTGCATGGACACGCCATCGTCACCCGAGTCCACCGTGGACGTCAGGGTCGCTCTGTGCTGTGCACCCTGGGGGCCTGGACGGATGTGTGAGGACGTGTGTCCATCATCATCACAGCGTCACCCAGAGCAGTTCCACTGCCCCACACCCTCTGGGCTTCCCCTTCACCCCTCCCTCATCCCCACAGCGACCCCTGACCTGTGCCCATCCCCGTAGTTCTGTCTTTTCCAGGATGTCACAGAGCTGGAGTCACACAGTGTGGCCTTTCAGACTGACTTCCGTCACGTAGCCACATGCATTCAGGTTCCTCCACGTCTTTTCATGGCTCGATAGGTCATTGCATTCAGTGCTGAAGAGTATTCCATCCTTGACATGTTTTAAAAGAGACCTTGTGGTTAACATTCTGGATAACTCCAGGCCAGACAGCCAAGCGTTTTGTTAACGAACCAGAGCATTCCTCAGCGTGGGTGTGCTCTCATGTGGACGGTGTGATGTGGTGTCCCCCACGGCTATGGGTGCGACTGTCCCTCACAGGCGACCAGCCCCCAGCCCTTGTCCAAGACCCGCCCCTGTTTCAGTGCTGAAATCCTGCCCAGGACACGCCCTTTCATTCTAGACCGAGGGGGCCGCTGGTCACCCCACATTTATTGTTAAAACAAAAGGTACACGTTTGCATTATGGAGAATGACTGTGAGTCCCCTGCGATACTGAGTTTAAATGGGACTATGAATTTCCCGTGGCCATCGAACCTTTGAGGGAGGGTCTTACTACATGTAGGTGTCCCCCCAAATGTGCACACGCCCGATGACTGATTGTAAAGGCCTGTTTATTAAAGTGCATTTTGTTTCTAAGCCGAGCCACCGGTGTGACCAGCGGGGACACATGTGGGGACGCCTGCGTCTGGCTCGTGTGTCCGAGTGCCTGCGCCCCCGGGAGCGGGCAGAAGTGATGGTGCCTAACGGACACTTCCCGCTTCCCTCCCGCAGGCTCACCGGCTCCAGCGTCCCCGACCTGATCGTGAGCCTCAGCAATCAGATGTGGCTGCACCTGCAGTCGGACGACAGCATCGCCTCGCCCGGGTTCAAGGCCGTCTACCAAGGTACCCACCGCGGGGACGGGCACCTCTGCAGGCGGGGCGCCCTGGGTGGCAGACACAGGACAATCCTGTCTCCTTGGCCATGGAGACAGGGACTAACTTTCCACCCTCCGCCGTGGGGACGCCTCGTAGCTGTTTGCGGAGCAGAATGTTTAACTTCTCGGGAGCGTGGCCTGCCGTGGCGCCTGCCGTGGTCACGTCAGGATAGAGTGAGACCCCGTGTGGACTGGGAGCCGAGCCCGTGACACGGTGCATCTCAGGGTTTTACACGCCCCAGCTCGGCCCCTGGGCGTGTGGCTCAGGGAGACTGCTTTTGAGCAGAGGGTGCGAGTCATCGGCGGGTCACGCGCGTCCCCTGCACCCCTGGGGTTTATGGAGGAAGCGGGGCCAGGGCTGTGAGGAGGAGAGCAAGCCCGTGTGGAGGGGCAGAGAGTAACCAAGTGGGGAGGAGGGGCTCTGCCTGCAGGGGGCTCACCTCCGAGCTCACTGGGGCGGGGGGAGAGGGGGCGCCCTCCTCAGCGCTGGGTC